GCTGCTTCAAGAACAAAAATAGAGCCTTGCACTTAATACTATTTCTTAATCCCCTGGCATTGAGTGTAATAATAGATTAGGACATAACAACAACAACAACAACAACAACAACAACAAATGAACAGAATATGTAGAATTAGTTTGGATGAAAACTGAAAATGCAAACTCACCATCAAGAGCTGCCTATTAACTTCTGTATAACTAGAAGTGGAACAATGAAGGCCAACCTATGAGAGATTTGCTTTTTCTGCTTCTCAGGCAATTCTGGTACAAAGTGCATGACATAGGCCATGTTTAAGCCAAAAGTTATATAATATTTAACCAATGTAGTAGTAAATTCAATAAAATACTTTTAGTAACAATATGAGACTGAGAAGGGAATTGTTTTATCAACATCAGGTATTTCAAGTAACCATTTTAAGTCATTGAGCAGCAGAATACCAAACAGTCTTCTTAGTTTAAGGCCACATTAAGCAGTGCTACATGTTGATCCCGTTGATCACCCGGTAGGAGGAAACAGCTCAGTCCCGTTGGAAAAGGGTCGCCCCCCAGCGAAGTATACCGCCTTGCCTTCTTGTCATGCCTTCGCCACCAGGGGCCACAGCAGTCTCCATCTCTCCCTAACAGATGGCGACAGGTCCTCAGAGAAGCGCAGCTCCTGGTTTTGGAGGAACGTGTTCTTCTTAAGCTTGATTTATGGTCCTGCGGCGTACCTACGACGTACCTACGTCGTACCTACGTCGTTGCCGTGACGCTGTCGTGAACCCTTCGAACTTCTCTGTCACTCCATTTCATTGCGGTGCAATTCACCGCCAGAGCACTAGGAGGCTGCGTTCCTTTCCTGAATGGTTATCGTCGTCTCTAGTTGATTCTTTGTTTAGCTTCCGGCTTTTCCGGTCACAGAGAAATGAACGCGGAGCACGGACAGACGGCTCCATCCGTATCCATATTGAACGTTGTGCATAAATGGGCCTTAATAATGCAACATCTACATTGCAACAGAAGATGTTTAAAGATGGCAGGGATGGCGCAATCTGGTAATACAGAACCGGAAATGCGTTGCTACCAAGCAAACCAATCACAGCCCTCTCGGTCTGCGCTGGGTCTGTTTTGCCTCGACGTGTAGTTACATTTTTGGGGAGGTGCACGTCAGGCTACGCCGGGGGCTACGGCGAGCCTTTTGCGTAGCCACGTACCCTACGACGTAGCGATGACGTTGATTTAACGCAGGACCATAAATCAGGCTTTAGCCGCTTTCCACACAGCGTCACGGTAGGTACGGGCAGTAAACTGAATGATGATCCCTCGAGGTTTGGTGGCACCTTTCTTTGGTTGACCAAGCCGATGAACTGTGTCAATAACATCAGGCAGTTTGGCTTTGAGGTCAGGTAGGATAGCCTGGCAGATTTTTGTCACCTCTTTACGGACGTCTTGCTCCTTGTTTTCAGCCATCCCGTACAGGCGTAGGTTCCAGCGCCGTCCGTAGTTTTCAAGATCGGTCGCTTGTTGTTCCAAAATACTCACTTTCTTCTCGGCTTCACTGACTCTAACATCCACCTGTTTCACGTTCTCTTTAATCTCACGTATCTCTCCGAAAGCAAAGTCAATGCTTTTCTTCAAACCCTCAATCTTAAGCGTGTTGTCAGATATCAGTTTTTCTATTTTGTTTTCCAAACTATCCAGTCTGGTGTTAAGGATGAGCGATATTTTCTGAACAATGTCCCCGCTGTCCACATCTTAACGGTGCGATTTCATCTTCTTGGGCGCAGGAGGCTTGGTGGGTGTGATGGCCGGGCTGGCAGGGAGGGGAGGGAACTCCTGGTCGACAAGGGAAACCAGCGATGTGCCCGACATGCAGTAGTTATGAGGGTTGTGCTGTAGAGGGTTCTCCTTCGGTGGTGTTACATCCATGTCGCTGCACGGGAGCTAGCTAGCAGTTAGCTAGCAGTTAGCTAATAGTTAGTACATTAGTCTGCTTCGGCTCGATAGCAGAGCATTAAAGAACAAAGTTTTTACTTCCTTAATTTCGTGACCACGTCGTCAGTATCCACGATTTAATATGCCACCTAACCCTCACCGTTCCACTTGAGTAAATTTCCTTTGGTTTGCAGCTCTCGATCTTGCGTGTGCTCACTCCGCCATCTTGGCCAAGTCCGATACTTCATGCAGTATTCATTCAGGCTCCTACACAGACACATGCAACGCGAGTTGACAAACCCCGTCCTCACCATGCTGGCTGTGTTTACAACATAGTTCTGTTGGGGCAGGTGTTAATCCAAACAAACCAATCACGTTGTGTCTTTTGACAACTGACAAGTGGCTCAACCTCACACACCTCATCCCTTTCCTCGCATCACTGCGCCACTAACAGCCATTAGTGGCCAGCGCCTGTGATTGCATTAACTTTCTCCTTGAGCAGCTCTTTCCACCTGGGAAAGGCTATCCCGATGCTGACCCTCGTTTTTTGAATTCGCCGGCACGTTGCCTTTTGATTCCCTTTTGCGCTTTCTTGGCAATGAGGATTCCATCTCCTGTGATGTTGTCATATGCATGATCCTGCATTATGCTCAAAGACTGGGACTTTGTTTTGCTGCAGTAGTAGCGAAGCACCTCTTGCTCCTCTCGTTCGGCTTCTCAGTCACGCAATGCTGGCCTGGCTCTCAACGAAAATGACGAAGGCGGTGCTGTATGTCCCTTGCTGGCGGGTGTATTCTCAAGATGGCGAAACGTTATAGAACCCCCCAGATGACTTACCTGCACAATGTACAAACAAATCTGAAATTCTCCTTTTATGAGAATAAGTCAGATTATTGGTGGAGGTAACAGTACACCAATGATGACATATTTATGAATGCAGACATTGATTTTTGCCAGTAAACAACTAAAAATGTTACACAATGTCCCTTTAAGTCGAAAGTGATAGTTTTGCTATTTTACACTGATTACATCACTGCAGCTCTGAATAACACTTGACACCTGCGTGATGAAAACTTGGATAAAATTACTTTGAAGTGTTTTATGTGACATATTCGGAGTAGTTTGGTCATGAGCTATAAAATAATTATCTATAAAATCATCTATAAAAGAGGTAAACAAAATAGAACTATACTCAAAATAACAGCTACAAAGCAAGGTATTAACTGAACAAACTGACCTCACAAAATGAACCACGAGGGAATATATATAGTGGCTTGGCCAAACCATCTAACACCAAAAGGGGGAAACAAAATGGACGTTTAGCTATAGTTTATACAAAGGGAAAACTAACTATACCCAAATCCCCCTCTGACATGGCAGTAGATGGTTTTGCCTGATGAGCCTGATGAGGATTTAGCAGCTCTCTGCCCATGCCTTTTGCTTCTCCAGGAAGAGACCTCCCACCAGTATGGTAACTCAAACAAAGGATAAAAATGATTAATATAACAGAAAACCCTACAATGTGAAAATGTGTGCACTCCATTCATAAAGTGTATGGCTTAAAGTAAATACAGATTATGAATCAAATAAACTGTGTAGTGTGGATTTAAATTTGTATATGATATATTATCTTTTTTATATTTTTTTGGGTGTGGTTGCCTGCAAAAGAAATTAACCAGTGTACTTAAAGTAGTGAGGTGTGTGTATAAACAATATTTCCACTTCTGGATTTTATTTTGTGTGGCCTTGGCCATTACACTATTTACAGCATATTGTTTACATCCCACGCCATTGACATTTTACTGGCACTTTTGGTAAATTAGTTAATAATTATCAACAAGTGGTTTCGATCCGCAAGTGTTGGAGATAAAGGCTTCCCAGCCAAACTGTGGTCCCAGCGCAGGTGTTTTACAAGTGGCCTCCGCGCATGCGGAGCTCGCGCTGCTAATGGTGCTCACAGTATGAATGTGTAGTGGAAAAATGCAAATATAAACAGTAGAAATGTGGGAAAAAATGCAAAAACACACATGACCAAGATGAAATCCCATGTGCAAGTTCAGAGAAATAGGTCAAAGCAGTGTGGAGGAAAACGGATGATGACAGACGGACGGGCAGAGGTTTCTCCATTTAATGGATAGTAGGATATAGTTCACCATTTCAACCGCTTTCATACTCACATCTTCGTGATGAAAAGCATCACTCGTGTCACTCTCTACTCCATCTCTACTGCATCCTCCTCTGAGGACTGTCAGCTGACACTAAGCATTTTGATGTGTTTTTAAGTGCGTGAATTAAGAGAAAAACATTAATAACTGCTTTCAATCGAAGAAAACTTTATTAATCAGTTTTTATGAGACGTTTGGGGGCCCCTTAAAATTTCGGGGCAGCAGGCGCCCCATGTACAAGGCTGTTGCCGCAGCGGCCCGGGTTCGACTCCAACCTGTGGCTCTTTGCTGCATGTCATTACCCCTCTTTCTCTCCCCCCTTCACACTCAACTGTCCTATCTATAAAGGCAAAAATGCCAAAACAAAAATCTCAGGGCCCCAGGCAATTGCCTGTGTTTGCCTAATGGTAAGTCCGCCCTTGTTCAGAAAGGATTTGCAAATCATTGCATTGCTGTTTTTATTTATGTCTTACACAGCAACCCAGCTGTTTTGGAATAAAGTTTGTAAAATTTATATTGAGGAGCAGCAATATTGGTTTTTGGGCCCTACTGCATTGCATTATCGATTTTGAGTTTTTTTTTAAATTTGTACAAGACACAAGGATCTTTTAATTAGCTCTGACTAATGTAGAGGAATGTCAAATTATAAAGGACCATGGGTCTTATTTTTAAACATACTGGGACTGTAGAAAATACAAATTGCCCATACTGTGTTGCAGTTTGAAAAACATTACAATAAATAAGAACAATAAATCTGTTTTCATCGACTGATTATTTATTTCTTTACAATAAGGTTATGCTGTTTTGTTTTTTTACTTTGGTCTACGCCTACAGCATGTGTACAAGCATTAATAAATATACACAGAAGCGAACAAGCTGCCTTCATGTCCCGTCATCAGTCCCCTCGGCTCATCTCTCCTTCCCAGCACGTAGAGATCATCAGATGGCATAGAGCACTGCGCTCTGCTGGACGGCAGCTGAATCGTTCATCACGACGACATATTTTTTTTAATCATATTGAAATAAGGAGTGCTTTTAGAGCATTTCGACCCCCACTCATTATGATCGCAGCTCCGTGTTTTGCGTGAACAACCCATTCGCCGTTTTCATTGGTGCCTTGTGGAAGCTGGGATGGGCACAATTCTACAGGAGCGAGTGTCACAACAATGCCTGGAGAGGGCTTCATCCATCAGGGACAGGGACTGGAAGAGGAAGGCGTCGTGGACCAACAACAGGCCGAATGTGGCCAGGTAAGATGTTGTGCAGTGCTAATCGGTGGAAACAGAGATGCTGTAGTATCTGTGTAACGCTGTCTCCAGCTGGACTGTCGTCCTGTGCTGACGCGGAGATGCTCGTCGTTCCGCACTTTGATCTCCAAACGCTGTGAATTGATCTTCAATATGAATAATTTCAAACTACAAATTACACCGTCGTGTCGGTAGTACAAAACAGGGGATGTATGATTCTTTATATATTTCATCTAGTAGGCTATTCTTATGCAGTGTTAATTGGGTCACTGGTTGTATTTAATATTTTATCTGTTTCGTTTTTGAAGCAACAAAATGGGCAGGCGGCAGTCACAAAGGAAGTCACTGCAGCCGCAGTACGCGCTCCCAAGTCAGGAAAATAATAACGAGAAGGTAAGTGTGAAGTAAAGCTGAAAACATGAGTCGCTTTATCAATTAGACAATCACAAAAAAGAAATGACATCCATAATAATAATTTCTTATTCATTTTAAAAGCCGAATTTCCAAACATCTGCCGATTAGAGCTTCTCAAATATGTTTTATTGTTTTATATGTCTCTACATTGAATATTTTTGAGTTTTTAACTTTTGCCTGGACAAAATACATAGCCTAGCGCATTTTTCACATTTTTCAGACAATTAATCAGTTGATCCTGTCGCCAAAAATTGTCCTATCCATGGTGGAAAAAGTTGCAGCACTATTGTAAAGCAGATATACTTAACTTGCTTTAATCTGGGGGGCACTTTTGCAAAATTACAGTAGGCCAGGAGTCAGTTAAAGCAACACTTACCTTTCTGGAAATGTTACACTTTTCTTTGTTTAGGTTAAATGCTATTAATAAGCTGATGGCACACTAAAATGTAAGTGAATTCCACCAGAAATAAAAACTCATAATCATGGGTGGAGATCTGATGACAGGTTTGAGGAGGCACAATCAGTTGTGATTTATTTTTTAATTGCACCATGCAAATCATGCCCACAGAGCGCTTGAGATTGCCAGCATATTTCACGATTTCATTCAAAAAGCACTTCACAGAGAATCATATGCTTACTTTTACTGTTTATTTCTCTTAAACAGCCAATAGTAGCTACATGGAGCCAGCCATCACCCTCCTTTTCACTGCTTCGCTGTTAGTTCTACTTTCAGGGTCTCAGGCATGTTATGTCCTCTCACAGATCCCCAGTTGTCCTCATCATCTTCCCTTTCTCCCAGTATATGGGACTACTATATACAGCAGTGGATATGGATGATTATCAGAATATGAGCCCCTAACTGAGCTGGGTTAAACTAACTGATCATGTTTTTACAGAGCCAGAATTGCTAGTATTAGTACAGTTCTAAGAGCACAATAAATACTTACAAGTTACACAAGCTGACCCAACAAAATCAGGTTTATTTAAATAAATTCATATCCATTCATTAATCATCTTTATAGGAATAAATATCCCATTAACAAAATGTGCCTATTTTGTCCTTATCACATCACATTTTTAATAATGTCCATGTACAGTTAGGTGCCTTGTTTGTTTTCATCTGCCAATTTGCACAACATGTAAGAAAGAAGTTTAGATTTCGGGGGGGCAATTTGTGTTTTTCAGGAATGGGGGGGGGGGGGGGGGGGGGGGGGGGGGGTATGCCCCCCCCCCCCGTCCCCTTATTCTCATATGGTTCTAAGAAAACTCTGACCAATCATTACAATGATTGGTCGCATTCTCAGGATGTGGAGTTTTTGGCTGTGAAATGTTGACCCTTTTCATCTTACTATTGCACTATATGTTCTTTCTTATATGTTGCACAAATTGTTTTTAAATGTTTTGTTTCTTTTTGCTTGGGGTATGCGAAATGTCATTTCGTTTTTGTGCTGCGCATAAAAATGACAAATAAAGAAGTTCAGTTCAGTTCATAACGTTATATATGACAACACAGCCTCCAGTTGCTAATGGCTGTTAGCCTACTATAGCGTAGCCTCTGAAACATTAACGTTATCTTCCTTGTGCGTTTCCACTTACTAGTAACATTAATGCTACTATCTAATGTTAGCACTGTAACCTTATTCTAAAACTCATCAGTCATCACTGACTCCGGTTGAGTTTTAAAACTGCATTTGACTATCTTGGTTGTAACGTTAGACTCACTCTCCTCTTCCGTGTATCTAACTTACGACACGATGGCTTGTACCATGGCATTAATGGTGCTGGTGGCGGCGGGAGAGGTGGGAGGAGCAGGACTCTGGAGGGAGGAGGGCGCATGTGGGGCAAGGCATGAAGGAGAGAGAGAGAGAGAGAGAGAGAGAGAGACAGAGAGACAGAGAGACAGAGAGAGGAAAGAAAACAGGACAAGAAAAACAAACACAAACAAAACAAAAAGACAGTGTATAGTGCATGTTGTGTTAAATTTTCATTGGTGTGTGTGTGTTCATGTGTGTTTAGTGCAGGCCTGTGTATATATCGTGCAATCTACATTGTGAATAGTGTGTTATCTACATTGGTGTATGTGTGTGTGTGTGTGTGTGTGTGTGTGTGTTCATGTGAGCATGTGAGTGGTTGGTGTTGTAGTGTTTCGTGTACTCAGTTACTCAGGTCATGGGGGGTTTGGAGGTGGGGTGGTGTTGGTCAGTTGGAGGATGAATGACAGGGGTGTGTTGGTTATGAGGCAGACTTCCTTGACGGTCTTCTGCAGGGCGGGGTTGTTTGTTGCAGTCTTGAGATATTTCAGGGCTATGGTTTGGTGACGTTGTCTTATGGTCTGGATGCCTGTTATTGAGTGTATGTAGTGGTTACTGATGAAGAAGGGGAGTCTATGGGCCAGTTTTAGTGCTTTGTTTTGTATTGTCTGTAGTCGTTGTAATTGGTTGTCAGAGATGGTGATCCAGGCGGGGACAGAGTATTCGAATAGTGGTCTGATGTATGATAAGTAGACTTTGGTAACTGTTGAGAGTGATGCACCATGTATTCCACAGAGGGCTTTGAGGTGATTGAGTCTGTTGTTTGCTTTTTGTTCCAGGTTATTGATATGTTTGGTCCAAGTCATATTGTTTTGGAAGGTGACTCCGAGGAAGGTTCTTTACTGAGGTGGAGTGGTTGGTTGTTTAGTGACATGTTGATGTTGGGCTGTAGGTGTTGGTTTTTGGTGAAGAAGATGCATTGAGATTTGGCAGGGTTTAGTTTGATTCTCCAGAGATTTGACCAGTTTTCTACTTCAGTGATGCATGTGTTGAGTTTTTTGGCTGCTAGTTGTCGGTTTTTTGAGCTTGACCAGTAACAAAGATCATCAGCGAACTGTGAGACTGGCTATGGTGGCTGGAGGGTAGTAGATATCGTAAATGTATAGAAGGAATAGGAGGGGACTTAAAACTGCACCTTGGGGAACTCCTGCTTGGGGGGTGAAAGGTGATGAGAGGGTGGAGGCAACTTTGACTTTGATTTGTCGGTTACTGAGGAAGTTGGAGATGATGGACTGGGTGGGTTGTGGGAGTTTGAGGTTTGAATCCAGAAGTCTGAATCTGAGTCCATTATGCCATACATTATCAAATGCTTTTTCAATGTCGAAGAATATTGCCAGGGTTATTTGTTTTTTGTTGAAATTTCTGTGGATGTCTTCTGATAAACAGAGGATGTTGTCTGTGGAGGCTCTTCCTTTTCTGAATCCGGCTTGGTGTATTGCTAGGAGGCCCACTGATTTGATGTGGTTATTGAGTCATGATGTGAGGATTCGTTCAAACAGTTTTCCAATATGAATGAGGAGGCTTATGGGGCGGTAGCTGGTGAAGCTGTGGGAGTCTTTTCCTGGTTATGGATGATGGTGACAAGTGCAGTTTTCCAGGGTGAGGGGAAGTGTCCGGTGGTGAGGCAGGTGGTGAAGAGTTATCCAAGGTGTTGAAGGTAGGTCATTGGTGCTTGTTTTTATTAATACAGTGTCCACAGTGTCTTCTCCAGGTGCTTTGTTCTTCATTTTTTTTCAGGTGTAGTTGAATTTCTTGGGTGGTGACAGATTTTGTGAGGGGGTGGTGCTCCGTGGTGGGGTTAATTGCATTTCTCAGTGATGTGTTGTGTTATGTGATTTCCCTGTCTACCAGATCTTTCCATGTGCTGTCGAAGTGGGGGTCGTTTGGGCATGAGTGAATATTTTCAAGGTGATTGCGGAAGAGTGTGGCTTTTTCTTTACTGTTAGTGATGATTGTGCCAGATGATTTGAGCGGGCGGTTGGTGTTGCTTTGTGGATCTCCAGTGATACTCTTGATTTTCTGCCAGAAGGTCCGGGGGTTTGTGTCATGGTCCAGTTTGTGGTAGAATGATTTCCAGGTTTTTTGTTTGTGGAGGATGAGTTGTGATTTGATGGTGCTTTGGAGTCTGTTTATTTCTGTTTTGGTGTGGGGTGATCTGAACCGGATGAAGTCTCTGCGTAGCTTCCTTTTCTGTCTGATGAGTTGGAGGAGATGGGAGGGTACTGTTTGTGTCAGGGTCTTTGCAGTGTTTTAGGGTATTGTTTGTTCTCGGGCTTTGGTGAGTATTTGACTGCATGGACGTTGTTAGACCTGGGCATTCCCGGCTATAGCCCCGGATCTTTTGGGCACAGCCCTGGATCTTTTAAGCCTCTGTTTTTTTGTTGTTGTTGTTTTGTTTTTGTTTTTTTTACTAATAAAGCACCTCGTTTCCAACTTAAAGTCCACGGCACAGCACGGAAGCACAACAAGACAGCAATGCACGCAGCACACATCACACTCACTGTCACACCAGCTTACATGGCATATGTACATCAATCAATCAATCAATTTTATTTATAAAGCCCAATATCACAAATCACAATTTGCCTCACAGGGCTTTATAGCATACGACATCCCTCTGTCCTCATGACCCTCGCAGCGGATAAGGAAAAACTCCCCAAAAAAAACCCTTTAACGGGGAAAAAAAACGGTAGAAACCCCAGGAAGAGCAACTGAGGAGGGATCCCTCTTCCAGGACGGACAGGCGTGCAATAGATGTCGTACAGAACAGATCAGCATAATAAATTAACAGTAATCCATATGACACAATGAGACAGAGAGAGAGATGCAGGTAATAACAGTAGCTTACAACAACATTATTGAAAGTAATAATATTATAGTTATAGTTCTGGCTACTGTGGTACAATATGTTGAAAGTATGTATTAATATCTGGCAGTATACATGTGTGACAATAGTCATATGTGTATAATAACAGTAGAAGTATGACTAATGACTAATGATGGCAGCAGCAGCAGGAGGCATCTGGCAGGACCACGGCAGCAGCACAACCACACACGTCACACTATCCAGGCACCGCTGCGATATGAGTTAATCTGAGAGAGAGTGGAGCACAAAGGCTCCGGAGAAGAAGCCAAGTTAGTGACATCCAGAATGGCCGAGTTAGCAAG